TGAATGTATGTATGTTAATTTATATGTTGAGTGTGGCATTCTCGACTTGCTATGGCGCGTGCCAGCTTTTGTTCTCCGCAAATACTTTATGATCAACACACAGGCGACGCATTTATTTTCGGCTGCGGAGCATTACCGTTAACGTTGCAAAAATGCGCCACGCGTGAGCAAAGGTGAAAAGTTGTTGGCATTTGAAATTTTCAAGTGAAAAAAAATTTATTGAAAAATTGTAATTTTTTCCAAATTCAAATTTGGCTACTTGGGTGTGCATGAAAAAGTTATGTATATATGTACATATGTGCGCGTATATGCAAATAAGTAGATGTGTGGGTATGATAACTAATTTATTGTCACTCGTCGTCGTTCTTGCCACATCTGCAGTAACTTAAGCGGCGAACGCCCTCGCTTGCAACAGCGCACCGTTAACGTTTGCTACAATTGTTGATTGTTTTCAATTTCGCTTTCATTTTCAGTTTCATTTGTTTGCCCTCGCATACATATGTACATATGTATATATGTATGTATTTATTAATATGTAAGCGTACAAATTTATGCGTACATGCAACACAGTCTGTTGCATGATTCATCGCAATTGTACGACCATGAAATGTTGTATAAAAATAAATGTGTACATATGTAAAATACATAAAAAAAATACGAACTTTGTTTCTGCAGTGTAGTGTTAAACTGGTCTGAAAGTAACTAGTTCCATATTGGTGTTTTCTGATACTAGTTAGGAAGTGTCAAAACACTACGAAATGGAAAATTTTACCTCGATACTGAACTAGTGATTATTTACCTTCGTATCAAACTAGTCTGGAAGTAGTGTATTTTTGAACAAAATCGGACTATTGCCTAAAGTTGTTTGTTACATCACCCGATTGGAATGCAGGGCTGGTATATATTTACATTCATATGTATTTGCGTCACAGATGCGTGTCTTTATTTACATAAGTACATGTGCAAGTATGCATGTACTTACCCATACATATATACGACTATATGCATATGTATGCTTTTAGCTTATCGAAACGCATTTTGTGTATTATGCAGATAAGTACATGCGTGCAATATTCAAATATACATATACATATTTATACATACATATGTATGAAAGTGCAACATTTGCTAACATACATACATATACATATGTACATATGTATATATTTGCATGCGATCTTAAGATCTCCCTCAACTCGCCTCTCCTCATTTGAGATTTATGGCATTAACACGATGTTGTTGTATATGCTGATCGTTGTTGATCGTTGCTGCTGATACTCTGTTTACATTCATGGGTGGGTGAACTCTACAAATCTGCTACAGTGGGCTGGAATTGGGAATTGGTACTTTTCACCCGAAGCTACATGTTGTGTGCTGTATACCGCTTCTACTTGAAGGCATCGAGATCATTCTTTCAAATAAATTCAAATGTCTGGATATAATTTTAAATGAGAAACTCAGCTGGAACCGAAGTAGAGAAGAAAGGAGTAGGTGGAGTAGGTAAGCCATGTTCGCCTTGATTATAGTACAGCGACTATATAAAGCAGTATAAGCTTCATCTTTTTCACTGAATTCACAGCTTAGTGCCTGGCACAAAGTTATCTCCAGTGGCAAAAGTATACGTAGTGACTTCCATCCTCATTGCACGAGCACTACTTAAGGTTTTACGAAAGTCGCATATGATGAACTTGAAGCGGGGTTGCCGTGCAGCTAAATTCCACTTAACCCTAGAGAAACACCAGTACAACTAATGACCGAATACAACACTTTTTGGACATGGGACCCTGCGCTCCTCAGATGTGTATTTTAATAATACATTTTGTCCAAAAATCTTAGATAGGACAGAAGGCGGAAAAGGTTTAGGTCAAAAATTCATAACCACTCAAATTTGGATGTTACGTTAGCTTACGGAGGCCATCTAGTTCTAGGCGTAATAATAGGGGAGATTCATGATTAATCAATGCTGTTGTGTTCGGATAGCCAAGATGCCACTAAGTATACTCATTACATCTGCTGCATATCTGTAAAAAAATTTAGTAAAGTTTTTTAAAACCAGAAAAAAATCAAATAATTACTAAACCACTTCCTCCTCATCCAAAATAGAAGCGAAGGACACTTACCGGGCAATCGCCCACTTAAAACCACAAAGCGGCGGGGACCGATAGATTACCAGCCGAGCTATTCAAATACGGCGTTGTAGAACTTATCAGGTGCATGCATCAGCTTCTTTGCAAAATGTGGTTTGATGAAAGCATGCCCTACGATTAGAACTTTAGTATACTCTACCTAATCAACAAAAAAGGCGATCCCATAATCTGCGCCAATTACCGTCTAATAAGCCTCCTTAACATCGCATATCAGGCGTATTTTGTGAAAGACTACCGTCAACAAACTGATTGGTACTTATAAGTGTGGCTTTAGATCTGGAAAATCGACCATTGACTGGATATTCATCATTCGCCAAATTTTGGAAAAGATCCGTCGTTTTTCAAGCTTCCTTCCACAGCACTGAAAGGAGTTACCTCTATGCCGCTATGTCTGAATTTGGTATCCCCGCAATACTTATCCGTCCTCAAGCAAAACAAAATGCTCCGTCAGGGTCAGGAAGGACATCTTCGAGACGTTCAATTCCAAATGATGTTGCAGACAATGGAACTCCTTATCGTGTGACTTCTTTAATTTGCTGCTGGAGAAAATAGTACGAGCTGCAGAGCTGAATGTAGAAGGTACAATCTTCTCTAAGAGTGTACAGCTGCAGGCGTACACCGATTGACATTATTGGTCTCAACAACCGCGCCGTGAGTTCTGCTTTCTCCGGGCTTGATAAATAAGCGAGGCGAACTGGTCTGGTATAGAACGAGGGCAAGACGCAGTATCTCTTGTCATCACACAAACAGTCATCGTATTCGCGACTTGGCTCCCACGTCGCTGTTGACAGTCATAAATTCAAGGTTGTTAAGAATTTTGTCTATCTAGGCACTACTTTGGACTGAGTAGGCAATTGAAGAGTAAAGTTCCCGACGAACGAAATCCAAACTCTACAAGTCCCTTATCGTTCCTGTCCTTTCATATGGTGCGAAAGCCTGGACGACGACAACACCTGATGAATAGGCGCTAGGACTCTTCTAGAGAAAAGTTTTTCCAATGATTTTTGGTCATTTGTGCATTGGCAACGGCGAATATCGCAGACGATAGAACGATGAGCTGCACGAGCTATATGATGATATTGTCATACTTCAATACTACAGCGGCTACGCTGGCTAGGTCATGTCGTCCGAATGGATGGAAGCACTCCAACTATGAATATATTCGAAGCACTACCAGCTTATGGAAGCGGAGAAAGAAGAAGACCTGCAGTCTGTAGAAAGGATCAGGTGAAGAGTGACCTGGCCTCACTTGGTATTTCCAACTGGCGCCAGAAAGCGAAAAGAAGAGAGGAACGGCGCGCTGAAATTGATGCGGCTATAATCGCGTAAGCGGTACTAACGCTATTAAAGAAAGAAGAAGAATAAAAACATCTATCGGATATGACTTAATGGATGGGTCCGGTAACCAAAGTAAAAGCTGCTCTTTGTGTATCATCCAGTTTTGCGATATTGTTTTGTTTCGGTAATGCCTGCCACCAAAGCAAAGGTCTATATGTTAGGATCGGTCTTATGGCGGATGTATAAAACAAAATGATAGGTTTGAGGTCCAAGTTCATGGCAAGCATTCTTTTGCAGGTGCAATAGCCCACAAATGCCTTCCATATTTGTTTTTCAATATTTGACTTACAGTTCAGTTTGGTATCAATCTCAACCCACAGATATTTTGCTGTTCGTCGAGGGTAAGAGGGTTGTAATACAACTTAGTAAAGAAAACTGAAGAGGTTTTTAGTCTCATTTCTGAATAGCGTAAACTGTGTCCTACCAGTCTCTTTTTCGAGGTCCTTTGATTGTTATCACCGTCAGGCTTTCATTGATGGTGGGAAGATGCAGCCCTGATACCATCCACACAAGATCGTCTACATATACTACTACTTTCAAGAGTAGAAGTTCCTTCAATGCCATCAACTTGGAATGGGAGACAATAGACCTTCTTAAGAGGTAGATTTTACGCTTTGCTGTATGTCACAATCCTGTCTATAAGCACTGAGTACATTCATTTCTAACTATGTCGTATATGACAATGTCTCTTTGTGACGTAAAGATTTCTCTATTATGATAATCTCTTCCCGCTGTTTCTGTTGTAAATCTCCTTTATTTAAGCATATTAGGCCAACGACAAAGTTGTTCTTGTTCTTAATGAATAAGTATTAGCCTCTACAGCATATTCACCATGATGAAAGTGAGGGTTATTCGCAGTTCAATTAGCTTCTTAAGAATAATAAGAATAATCTCATCTAAGCCCGCTGATAATTTATCCCCAAGAAAATGTACTTTCCATGGCATATCAAGAGTAGTGGTACAACCTTTAACCACCTTTCTAATGCAGACCGGATTATAATGTTCCTCGGATAGGAATTTTGATAACATTTACTATTTTTTTTTTAATTTTGAATTTAAATTTTTATGCATAAAAACTATTTTTTTTAATAACTTTGATTAAATTTTTGAAACTTTTTTTTTAATTCCAGTTGCGTTACTTCTCAATACGAATGCCCACACTGTACGTCGTATGCAGTGTGAAAGCTAAACATTCAGCCTGAAAGCATGCTACGATAATTGTTGACATGACAACCGACGAAGTGATTTTGCGGTAAGTTTAAACGAAAAGTCTAATCTTTCAAATAAACTTCCACATGATTATGTTTGGAAGGAAATTTCAAGATTTGTAAGTTGAACAGGTGAATTAACACACACATACATACATATACATGTGCACACATATTCGGTAAATGCAGAAGAATAGAGACAGATTTGTTTGATGCGCTTAGCTCTCGAAAAATCAAGTAAATCTGATTATATTTTTTTATTATTATTTTATTTTCATTTTTCTTTATTGTAGTTTTTTGCCTCGCCTTTATTTAAGCATATTCGCTATCTAATCGCAATCTCTTACTTTTCTATATTTCTATCAACCCAATTCAATCACAATGAAGCGCTTAACTGCTGGCTTCCGTTAGCCAAGGATAAGAGTTTGTAAATTAAATTAAGCTTCCTTACTTCCACACGCTGCAGCTACACACGTGCCTTACGGCTTAGATGTTGTGCACGATAAGCGATGTCTGCGCCAGCGCCAGTAGCAGCTACCTTCATACGTCGGCCACTTGCCGTTAATGCTGCATGCGAAGACGTTAAGTCCCGTCTCCGACGCTTGCCTGCCACCGCAGTGCCCACTGGCAAACCTGAGACGGTGCCCAATTGTAGTAACAATGGATTGCTGACCAAAGCTGCAGCTATGCCCAAGACCGCCGCACTGGCTAGTGGTATGAGGAAACTCTTTGCCAGCAAAGCTTTCTGCGCCAGGTCGTGAGGTCCTTTATGTGTGGCTGCCTCGTGTGGCAACTCTGGATAAGTATATGAGTATTCACCACCGGCGCCCGCATAATGTCCACTACCCTTGCCGCCGCCGTACACATCGAAAGGTATAGCGCCAGCTTCAGCGCTGTGTGCGCCACCATAGTAGCCGCCGTGTCCACTGGCGCCATAGTGACCGCCACCGCCTGCATGTGCCGCCCCATAATCGATGTAGTGCCCGCCGTTGCTGTAGGGGCGTACATCTTGGTAGCTGTAGTGTCCGCCACCGCCGCCGGGTGCGTAGCCTGATGTTAGTCCATGCGCTTCGCCGCTGCCATAGGGTTCTATGTTTTGGTGGAAAATGTGTCAATCGGCTCTACTTTGATATTTTAATAGCTCTTCGTACTTACTCACGCTAATCCTATCCTGTGCACCTTGTCCACGCAGGATCTGCCAGCTATTGAAGGAGTTTGCGAGCTTCTGACTGAGATCGTTTGAGTTTTTTTGATTTAACAGATCCGGAAAGGATATAGGTTTGGAGACAAAGCTGGCGGTTGCGCTGTCGCGGTTATGACCAACCGTAGAAGAGCTGGATGTTTTGGAGGTGGAGCCTGGACCTCTGGAAAGGAAAAAAAATAAACGAATCTGTATGAAAAATAAAAATTTTTGTTTTTAAATCGAGATAGACACGGCGAATTGAAAAATTGACCGTCCATAAAAAGACACATAGCCAGCTTTTTCTGTCATGAAAATTTGTAGTGCATCACAAGAGTCTCTATGACCTTTACGAGAACTCTATTAAGAAAGTGTCCACTTTTTAGGTAGATTTAAACTTGAAATAGTTGGATCTCATTTCATTAAGTCCTACAGCCCCCCTTCGCTCTATGAATTAGGGTACAGATCCAAGAATACCCTCGATAATGAAGTAACATAAAGAGATAAGCTACCGCCCTGAGCTCAGCGCCATTCATCACTTCATCCATCGCAATGTCTGCCAAAATACCGGACAACTAAATGCTTCTTTAAAATTATCACCATTCCGCAGCTATTGGTTCTTTGAACTCTATGTCTTTTAGGAAGATTACAATGGTTATCCGTGTCAGAGTTATCATATTTTAGTCTAAGTCTAATCTGCTTCTCATCGGTCCGAAATCATGTTTCATTTCTAAAGTCAAACTTTTTTCGAAATTATTTTATTATTTATTATTATCCATTCCAAAACCCAGGCTGGAGCCTTCCGAGTGTATTTCTGACAGCAAACAAAAAGGTCTTATCAAAAGGGCGGCCGCAATAGACGACTAGTTAGCATTGCGTACATTCCCTCCGAACGTACGAGGGAGTTAACCAAAGTTCGGTCAGTTAGTGACTTTTAATTTGTTTTTATTAAATTAAAAATACAAAATCCTTTGCAATTACTTTGTTAGTCTTCCATTCAAATTATAAGCGACCGGCTGAAATATAGACGAGAAAACCGCAAGATAGCTGAGTATAGGTGACGTTTCGACGTTATTTACATCAAATACAAATATTCAGTGAATGGCAAATTGCTTATAGAACGATTGCACCGTATTTAAAGACTATTTCTAAGTGGTTCCGAAGATTCCAGACCGGACATTATTCCGAAGAAAACGAGCCCCGAGAAGATCGACCAAAATCTTCCACTGATGACGTCACTGTAGTTCTGGTGAAGTCCAAAATTGGCAAAGGCCCACGATTGACACAAGATATGATTGCTAATAATTAGGCCTGAATACCATGGCTTCATCAAAAATATTAAGTAATCATCTGGGATACATGAAGAAATCTGCTCGATGAGCACCTTGAATTTTAAATGAGGCCCAAAAAGACGCTCGAGTGCATTTTGCTCAATTTCTCTTAAACAAATTCGAGAATGGTCGGTCCAACAACTTTAGTTAACTCGTTACTGGTGACGAATCTTGGTTCCATAAGTACGAGCCAGAAACCAAACAACAGATCATGGTATGGGAATCAGCAGGAGCAAGCCCACCCATAAAATCTAAGCAACCAAAATCAGCAGCAAAAGTAATGATGCCAGCTTATATCAACCGATCTAAAATCGTGGCTGCTATTTCACTTAAAAGGGGTCAGACAGTAACTGCAAAATGGTACATCGAAGAGTGCTTACGAAAAGTTCTCAAAATTTGTTTGAAAACAGTAAGAAAGAAGCTTTGCGGTGCGACTTTTCCGAACCTGCTGAAATAACGAATCAGTTTATTGCGATCTCTGGGATCGAAGAAATGCGTCCAGCACCAAATTCCCTTGTGATTTCTGGTTATTTCCAAAAATAAAAAAAATAAAAAATAAAAAGGAAAGTTTTTAATAGCAACGGGGAGATAATTAATGCGTTAATGCCGAACTCGATAAGTTTAAAAAGCACGATTTTGAAGACTGTTTTCGGAAGTGGATCTATAGGCTTTAGAAATGCATTAAGGAAAAAGACTGCGAATAAATGCAAAAAAAAAAAATCTTGTTTTTTTCTGGTAAACTTACCGCACTTTTGTTAATCCCCTCGTATATCTGACATAAAGTAAAAGCTACTCATAAAAGTTCCTCAGCCAGAAGGAAGTCTAAAAAGGCGAACAGAGTAGATTCCATTACCATCAACTTCATAAAATATTTCGTCCGTCTCGTTTGTCATTCTGAATTTTTCACAGCTTCGAAATTATGGGTTTTAGGTAGTGGTCACGGTTTGAGCTCATTATCTTCTTTATGTCAGTTCCGCTCTTCATTTCGAGTTCAAGGCTGCCCACAGTATGTCACAATCTATTCTGACAACAAAACTGCCGTTAAGACATGACAGAGAACTTTTAACCTCTTTGCCCTCAAAATATCTGCTTTCTCCAGTATGCCCAACAGTAGATGGTCATGGAAAACCACCAAAGCAGAAAGTCGTTTCTCCGGATATTTACCACTCAACTGCCTTGGAGAGCTTGATTTAGCTAGTGTGAGGGTCAAATCTGTGTATAAAGGACGAAAGGGATCTTCTTCACGAACCATTCTTTGGTATCAATGGGTCAGTAGCAATAAGTGAGCTTGTGAGCTTGATGGGGGTATTGCAATCCGACTAAATTCGGGTAGAACTCCAGAACCATAGTCGACAAGGAACCCCCTAACTCTAAAGTCGTTTGTACTCCAATTTCATTATGTCGCAGGTCCTTTCACTGCACGGTTAAGCTATGCAGAACACGAAGTCGCATTTCGAAATTTTCTTCTCCTTCTTTCTTCGTCAGTCATCCAACTACAACCAGCTGAGCAAGTCTTTTAGTTGGTTATTTTTATTCTCTTTCTTTCAACCTATTGAACGCATTCTATAAAATAAATTCGATTTCGCAACCACATATGGTCAAAGAGATAATGACAAAGGGGAGGAGGGAGTAGCGATGCACATAAATGAATTGATTAAAAGAATTTCCTAAAGAGCATATTTTACACATTTTATTGCATTATCATTGTATTTACTCCCATAAAAGACACAATTGAAAGGCCATTGAATGGACGTGACACGAGAAAAGCGCAAAGAAGCGCAGGACTCTTACCAAATGCTACCGCCTGTACGGGTTATCAGAGACTCACACGTCCGTTCACTGTCTCCTGTGTGCCATACATTATCACTGGTCGGGCTCGTGGTGGCCGTTGGGCTGAGTGTACATGTTTCGGCTTTGCTTTACACTGAGTATGTGACTAGCAGTTTTAAAATGTCCACCACTTGGGCAGAGGACGACAGCCGGCGTGTGAATATGTATGAACACTCCGCCAGTGGTCAGCCAAGAGCTGCGCCCACAAATGTTGCCAAGTTCACGGTGATTTCTGCTTGGTGGTGGTGGTACGCTTTGTCACGCGTGTTCATAATTTGTCGCATTGTTGCTTTAGCCTTTGGCTTCCTTCTCGTGTTGAGCTCAGGGGATTAGAAATAGTAGCAACAGCATTGAGAAAGAATGAAAAATAAAAGTGAAAACGACAAATTGCTGGCTTTCAGCTCTCATCCGGCGAAGGTTGGACGTGCAGCATATGGTCGACTTGAGGCAACAATAAACACACGTACACATGTTTTATCTGGTTTTGCTTCGAGCTTGTAGAGCGAGTGTCGCGACGTGTCTCTAATGGGCATTAAGGTGTTAGCTTCCATTGCTGTTCGCCTTTTTTCCGCAGTTTAGTTATTTTTTTGTGTGTTAAATTTTGTTACTTCGTTTTAGAATGTAGTTTATAGTGTTTTTGTTGTTTGTAACTGTTTGGTGTTTGCAACTGTTTGGTGTTTGCAACTGTTTGGTGTTTGCAACTGTTTGGTGTTTTTGATCACTGCGTGAGTCGGTGGTCATAATCCACTTTAAACTTCTAAATTTATTTTGTGTACTTTTCTACTACTATTTTGCTAACTTTTTTGGTAGTAAAAGTGTCCGCCGTTTGGGCTTAACCACAAAAATATAAATGTTTACATTTTTTGCCAGTCTGCCAAATTTCACTTTTATCTGAATTGGATTTGTGAGTCCAAATTTATGTATTGGGCCTACTCTCTTGCCCTTCTGCCAGTTTCTACTACCTTTTCTGCAATTTTCGGCTTAAAATTTCGCCGGTAAGGGTGTCAGCTTATATTCCAATATGACTTAAATTATCGCAGGCGCTGATATTTAATTTTAGCCTCAACCTGGCTTGGCGCAAGTAGAGTTTATTTAGAGTCTTCACTCGCAGCTCGTCGTGGTTGTTATTCGCTGCAGTAGCCACCGGTAGAGCCAGAGGAACTGGAAGACTTTCACTCCCTTGCAAAGGGCAGGTAGAGAAGGACCTGACCTCACTTTGGCGCTGAACGACGATAGTAGGACACGACTGGTGTACGAATGTTGACTCGGCTTAAATCGCGTGCTATGGAGTGATGTATAGAATATGTCTTCATGAAAGTTTAATCCGAGCTTAGGGTTTTGTGGATACCGAAACATCTAAAATTTTGCTTCCTGTGCTGTATATAACTTGCACGTTTCTAATGTCGATATTGCCTTAAAAAACCTCAATTTATTGACTTCATCGCATTATGAGTTGTGCATGCCCGAATGTGGCAGTGTCATCCAACGAACTAACTTAGAAGGTTTGAAGTCTATCTGGTAAAGAGACGGCACCATCCGGGATCGTAGTTCGCAATTTAGAGTAATGGCTCAGCAGCAGGTTTTCCAGTAAGTTTTCCACGACTAAACTTATCCTAATTGGCGCATATGAGGTCCGACATCGAGCTTTAAAGGGTGTTTCGGTAACTCCCCTCAATCGATCGAGTTCGGTTCAACTTCTTGCATTTCGATTTTGATTTTTGTGAAAGAGTTGTATTGCTGCTAATCTGGTTAGTGATGTTGTAATTGAGCGAATCTCAGGGAGCTAAAAAGTTGCGACCTTTTCTTTAGGGAAAGGGTGAGCCTCTAAAATACTCTATGAGTTGAAGGCGAACTAACGATCTTGCCCTGTTACTAATTCTAATCCTTAGAACGTAATGGTAAGTCGATTAAACATCTTAGGCTAACTAACTCCGACCACTTTAGGCATCGGATAGTATCTCTGGATCCTATTTCCAATACAAAGAAGAGTATTATGGGTCTCTAAACGATATACATATCTATGTATTTAAGAACAACTTATATACATTATTGTCGAAGTAGCGGCTACGTAACCGCGCTTAGTCAGTGCCGTCGGGGAAGACCGAAGAGACGATATCGAGCCAGAAAGAGAGGGTTAATAGATGCATAGGTTTTAGTAGACAAGAATTCATGCAGGCACTTATTTTACGTAGCAAAATATTTGTGCGTTGAAGTCTCGATAAGTAGAAATTAAGCCTACTACATTACTTATCTCTCTTTATCTACTTCACTAGTTGAAGGATTCCGATGATGTCATTCAAAGGTACAGAGTTACTGAAGACTTTATCGAACTCTCAGCGAATGGTATTTAAGGCATGCCCGTAGAGAGATACATCAGAAAAGAAGTACTTAACTTTGCATGCTTAGAGGGCTGGTTCGGCTTCAAGTGGGTATATACAGTGAGCCGATGGGGTTTGCATTGAAAAGGAGTAAGATGACACGGCACTGCTGTAGTTCACAAGGCATTATTCTAAAAGAACAGCAAATTTTTTCAGCCTCCGCCCAAAGCGGAGTCACGCAGTTTATGACCGACCGACTGTGTGCTTGAGTTGATGTGGAAATCGGAGTTGACCCGTCAAGGGGTGCCACTTTTTCGGTGACTTAACTGAACTCCGTTTACTTTTAATAGATAATTAAGCTACTAATCTTTAAATGGGCTTATGAATCACCCAAAGGCTCTTCAATTGGATTTTTCGCTTTGCTTAACCGGTTATATGGAACCTTTTTAAGATATCCAGTTTACTACAAATTTTCCCGGACATAGAGTTTCAGCTAATGTTCCAAGAGCAAGGACTTCGCCACCATACTAAAAGTTATGACGAGCCTCTAAGCTATTATTTTTCACAACGAAGTTCTTCTTACTTTGATATTCAAGAAACACTTAACAAACCTATAAAACTCTGGCGGCGGATCATAACTCTTTGCAGCCGCCGAGCTTGAAGCCTTTAAATCCGTAGCTTTTATATTCCTTTTATCGTAACCATGAATTTGTTGTGCGGAGGAGCTCGATACAAGAGATGATGTATGCTGCGTGTTGGTTGCTGCCGAAACCGTTGGTGAGTTCGAGTTAACTTTAGAATAATCCTCGGCATGAGTTGATGAAAGACCGAGCAGCACCAAAACTAGAACTATATTTTTGGGCGCAGTGATATTATCTAGATACCGAAACATTTTTTTTATTGATTTATTTAAAATCCACCATACACATACACACACACTACCATATGAGGCAATAAATATTTGTTTTTTATGCTTTTGAATAATTAATCCTTTTAGTTTCGTTTTGAGCCGAAACGATTTGCCACCACCGCGGCGCACTTCACGTTGTTAACTAAAGTTTTTGCTGTTGCGTGTGGTGACTTTTATAAGAAAGTCATTGACTTCGTAATTTTGCTTTTTCGCCGAGGCTGCTACTTGTTGTTGTTGCATTTTTTTGCTATAATAGTCTAATTATATTGTTAGTTTGCTATTGTTGTTGTTGTGGTGCATAATGTAATATGTATTGTAGTTGACAACGGTGTTGTTGAGGACATAGACAATTTAAGCTTCAAATTGTTGCGTTGTAATGGAAAAAGAAGAAGAAGAAGAATTGAAGAAGGTAGCTTCAATGGCTGCAGTAGGCTTAAGTTGGAGCGCACGGTGTCTCAGAGCTAGAGATTCCGATAAAATAAACATGAGTTTTAGTTGTATTTTTTTCGAATCAAAATTTCTCAGCCATCAACCAGCCAAAATGACTGGTGAGTCCGGCCCCACTGCGGGGTAGAGGTTCAAAAATTTATCCGCGGTAAGGCTTGCCTGTCGTAAGAGGCGGCTGAAATCCATTAGTTCCAGCGACAGTCGGGTATTTATATCGGAACCACCCGTATTTTTATCAGGCCGAGGACTTTCACTCCCGCAAAATTTCCCAAAAAAGTACTTCAGGGAATATTTTTGGGGATACAACAACAACCACTGGTGAATCTGGTGACGAAAGATTTTTTTTTATGGCAAAGGTAAAGCTGGTTTAAGACTAGAAGGTGCGCGGCCGAAAGTTTCTTCTAGTCAAACGTGGATCAGGTCGATCGTGGCTGATTCAGTTTGATTGGTACTTATGCAGTAAGAAAATAAAAAGTTAACTATAAAATTGTCCATGGGGTATCTGGTATCAGATCAGTCATACCAACATACCAATCAAGCAAAATGGTTGTGAAGATTTCTCCAGTTGGGTTGACCTTGAATAATTTTTTTTTCTTTCTTTTTACATTAGCCAATTATGTCCCTACATCTGTCCTTGCGATTTTTGGTGCGCCTCTAGATGCTTTCTAGAAAAATGACGGAGCGTGTACAGTTCATTCAAAGGCACCTTCACGACCAATAATGGCGTTCATACGAGTAGTTACGAAGGGTTAATTATACATCGATTTAATTCACTCAGGCTTAAATGGTGATTCGATGCATCTATCTATTAGTAATTCAACTCGCCCAAATATGGGCATAAATAATGGCTTTTGGTCTCTCACTCAGGTGCGGGCGGTGTTAGAATGACAAAACGACAAAAAGAAGAAGAAAATACTCGGATGGTTGGTAGCGTTCTCAGTTATCGCTCCCAGTTCATTGAAAAGTTGCAAGGTAGGTAAGTTCGAGTATGTCTGGATGGCTTAGAAAAAGGTTTTACGAATTATAACAGTGAACTTGACCTTATTAGGAGGCTTAAAAGCCTAAAAATAGTTATTCGTATACATTTGGTTTACCAGAATTAACTCCAAGTGAGTCATAGTGCCTACAAGTGTTTTCTTTCTCATTAAAACTTCATCCGTTTCAAAAGTCACCAAGTCAGATCTAGTTTCAGGAAGGCTTCAGATTATCAGATTTATCCGCTTCCAAAGTTAGCCAAGATGTAACCTCCTCAGCACAATCTACTATAAACGACTTTCTTTTTAAGTTAGATAGACGCTGAACGATTCAGTGTTCGGCGAGAAGAAAGTGGTTTAGTTAGGTCTTGTTTTTTTTAGACTTAACAGACCACCATTCATTGGAGTTGGTTGCGTTAATAAAACAAATGAACTTTTTTATTCGTCTTAACGATTTTACGAATAGCTTCTCCTATAACTTGTGCTGTGGGTTTGGTGTATTCCTTACAAACCATGGCACGTACAGTTTTGAGCAGCTCCCGAATCGCTATTGGTTTTTTATGAGGGGCCCGAATACGCCTTACTCTTCGCGGTAAGGATGAAAGCTTGAATGTGCTCAGACTTCAGTATCATCGGAATACCCAAAACAATATGTTCCCAAATACCTCAGATGGTATTTCATGCAATTTTTAATACACCATCGGCGAAATTAGTAAGATTAAAAAGGGCATTCTTTGCTGTCGGAATTTGAAATCGGATGGGCCTTAGGACATGCTTTATCGGTAAGAACACGAATATTTGTACTACCCAGGTTCTACGCCTCTTTGTAGATGGTTCCAAAATGAAAGGCTCTTAACCAAAGGCAAGAAGATAATTTAAGAAGCCTAACCATTAAGTATCTTCCGACTATTTTTGGGTGCAGGTCGTCATAGAAGAAAATACTTATGCATATAGACAGTCCAGCAAATAGTCAGACCTTACTTTCATACAGCAAGTAGTCCGCAGTGATCGCAATATGTGAAGAAGGAAAAAAAAACTAGCTGAGAAAGGAAAAGTTCATATTTGCTGGATTCGCAGCCATTTGGACATCAAAGGCAAAATAATAGCTCTTGAGAGCGTGTACTCTCAGAATTCTTTGCAGCAGTGGACTTACCAGTACTATTTAATTTAGGTCTGGAGCACGTGATCTGTTTGTGGCGAAGAAAAGCTGTAGTATCTTCAACGAGCAAGCAATATATAGAGGATCAAAAAGATTAGTTCGGTTTGCGTAGAGATAGTCAAAGCTCTATAAGCTAGAATCTGTATCTTGCAACACTGGCAGCGTTTGCGTAGGACTCCGTAGAGGCAATAAGTTCAACAGTTCCTCTATTTTCTGGTACCCCACATGGCATTTTAAAAAGAATTCATATTTTGCGAGTCCCTAATACACTGTTCAGCAAGGCTGAGATGATGTTTCCCCCTTTTCTTAGCAGCTCTGCTTACGCATTTACCGACGTCGTCGTTGTTGTCGCCTGCAATTAGTGACGCCAACTCAATTGACTAACCACAAAACAAGCGACGCAACTACAAGCAGAAATAGTTGTTATTGTTGTTGTTGTTGTTGCAGTAAGTGAACGAATAATAATAATAAAAATTTAAGTACATCTTTTTTAATTCGATCATTTCACTTTCATTCCGAGCCGACATACAAACATACAAATACAAGTAGTTACATATATATATATATTTAATATGTATGTACATATGTTTGCAATTTAGTATTTATTTTTGTCTGTTAGTTTGACTTACTTTAGGTTTGGTTAAACATCACTATTATTTTAACGCTTAACAAATATTTTTATTTGGCTGCAAATTAAATACTTGGTACACACACATGCATAGACCTATACACACACACATGCATAACCCCGAATGTTGCGTGAAATATTCATTTGCAACATTATGTTGGTGTTGCCACCATACGAATGAGTCACCGAAGCGTAAAATGTCACAAAATTTTATTTAACTTCTACTTACATACATATATAAATATATATGAAAACATATTCAAGTACCTACGGAGTGATGTTGCCACTTTCTGCACAAACAATCGTACGGACATTGCTGAGAGGCAGCGACACTTACTATGTACATGTGTATTGTGTTACCCAGTCTGCCAAAATTTTACGAGTCTTTTATGCATGTACATAGATACATATGTTTGTATATGCATATGTAGATGGTCTTGGGTGAGGATACCTTCCAGACGTGAGTAGAGAAGAACTATTAGAGGAAAGGAGCATAAAATCTCAATCTGCACCGACGGGTCTATACTCCGTGGTTCTTGTTGTCTCTTACGACGCTTATGCTTCATTTCTACTCGAACAGATTAAACTCGCAAGCATAAACACATTTTAATTATGAGTTAAGGCCTCTACTCGGGTAGGTTATGCACATTTTCTCTACATATGTAGAAGCGTTAATCGGTATCATAACGCGGATTGAGTTCAAATCAGCTGATTTGCATTAAACCTGATTGAGACAGAGTTTCCGTGTTGCTAACTTTTTGCCAAAAATGAATGAAGCATAAACGTGGTATCTCTCTCTCTCTCTTTGCGTCAGCCACACTCAGCTAACGTCTTCCAAGAACAAGTACTAGGTAAAGGAAGGGCACACAGAGCATAAATGAAAGAGGACAGGCAGCCACCACTGATGGGCTTATGTTGTTGTTGTGGCTACCTTAATTCCATTTTTGTCGGAGTCATCAAATAGGAGACCCCCGGAACAAGTTGCTTCGATGTGCTCGCTCCAGTGGAAAAGGGTCATCTAGCAATTCTGGGTTTTATTGAGTATGTAAAGAGATAGTTAGTGTCTTGCGAGTATTAATTGCCTACAGAAAATGTGATAAGTACGTCGGGGTCTAATTGCGGTCTCCCCTCGACAGAGAATGTTAAACCCTCAACTGTTCCTAGGCGGCTTAGTATAAACTGTAGCTCCCTCCATTTCTGGGAAAAACATATAATGACGAAAAACCACAGTAGTTCCAAATCGCCAATTATACTATATGTCGGGGTCGAAAATGTACAAATAGAAGTTAGGTGTGCTATATTAACCCGACCTAACTTCTGTCAGCATTACTTGGATTTTGCAAGGCAGCTCAAACACAACGTCTGCTATAAGAAGCGATGGATTCCGATTGAGCCGCTCAAGAGAAAGCGGTTGATAAAATTGTCGACAGACAATGAGGGAATGGCATTTAGGACCTACTAGTCCTGTCCAGTGATGTGAGAGGTGCCGAAAGGAGTACTTTCTCACTGATGTACCCGTTGAAACGGTTCCGCTTTAAGTAAGTTTCTGCAAAAATGATCCCCGCAGTAACACCCCCGCATGTAGAGCTAACATATCATACCATTATGCCGGAAGTTTTGATATCTTACTTTGCGAATGGTGCACAGGTGTTATCAGAAGTTTTTCTGTTATGCTCCTCAACGCGGTGTTCTGGCTTGATGGTTTTCTTCTGCGTCTCGTTAGCCTCTTGTGTCATAGTTAAGAACCGGCCGGTAAAATTCCTTGATGAACTCG